GGCTTCAACGCTTGGGTTGGAAAGGACGATGAGGGGCCCGGATGATGCGAATCTCCCCCTGCTGTACCAGAGAAATGAAAACGAAAAAGTGTTAGTCCTCAGACCACTCCGAACAAATCATAGAAGTCCTACAACTAACCATTAAGGTTTTCCCCCACATTATTGTTCTTATTGTACCGGTTCTGGGAGAAGTTGTTCTTCTTAACATACGGTTTTCTAAAACTGCCTCCACCTCGTTTCCCGCGCTGGACTGACGTAGACGACTCCACTACCTTTTCAACTACCACGGGAGCTAGCGTCACCACCTGCCTACCCGTTGAAAAACTAAACCCGTATTTCGGACCTCCTTGGGCATAAGGATTGTCTACAAATTGCAAATCTCCAGCTCTATCCGCTGCGAATCTGGCTTTATCCACTACCGATTGTTGCACTCCATCAGGTATCTTAACTATATCCTTCAATATCGTCTTGCCTTTGACTTTAGTTTTAATCAACTTTCTCCTTCTGAAAATGACAGTTCTGATCTTCAAGTGATAACGTAGTCCGATCATCCAACAATTATATTGTTTCTTCAAATCAGATACAATCTTCTTATGTTTCACAACATAATTGGCATACGTCTCCAAACCATAGATTTCTCTCGCATACCTCTCTTCTAAATCACACATTTCTATAAAATCTCCATACGTAAGTTGTTTTTCTAGAGCTTTAAGAGAATTCTTGGATATTTCTAATTTCTTTTTATCTTTATCTTTCTTCTCTTCATCTTCATCATGAAAACTTTCTAACAGAGCAGTGTTGAAGAGAGTCAAAGGTACATAAGCTCGTAACTTCCTAAACCCTTTGTCCCATTTGTCCGGTAAATCTGGGAGGTCTGCTGAATCGAAAGCCGACACATCATAGCCTAGCTCCGCCTTGTCGACCACATCGGAATCATCTGAGCTGTCCTCCGACGTAGAAGAATTCTCTGACGAAGAAGGTGACGAGTCGTTGTCTGAATTTGAAGGTTTCCTCTTCGACTTTTTCTTCTTCTTTTTCTTAGGCTTCAACACCTCTGAGTCATCGGAGGACGGGCACTCATCTTTCTTCTTTGGTCTTGGTCTCGGATCTGAAGCGATCGAATCCTCGGAAGAAGACGAAGAATCTTCACTGGGATTCTCTTGATTTTTCGCTTTCCGCTTCTTCTTCTTCTCTTTGACTGAACCAAGCTTCGTCGCGACTTGAGCAGGCGCTGCTGGAGGGGGATCTTGTCTTAAACTATTGATCTGCTTAGATCGACCAGAAATTGAATCTAACAATTGACGTGAGTCGCTTTCTTTCCCTCCTGGCTTCGTCACACCTTTCTCTTTAGGTTTCGGATTCCACTTGTCATATTGCATCGAGACCATTGAACCAAAGGAGTTGTTGAAATCTTGGACTAACCTCCTGGCTTCGTTGCCATTCTTGGTGTCCAGCGCTATGGTCAAAGCTTCTAGTAGGGCTTTGCTACCTGAGTTCCCTCCGCTTTGTAATTCTCGGAAGGCTAGATATAGCCAGCAACGGGGACGAATAAAAGATAACAATATGTAAGTATTACTATCTTGAATCCCACTCTTCTCACAAAGAGAACATTCTTGAGCACAACAGACTTCTGTTTAACTGCTTCAATGTCCGAATTATGACCCAGCGCATGAGCAGCTAGACTCTCTATATTCGAACATTATCGCGCTCTCGCAGCGAAAACCTTTGGAAAGATACTAACGTAAACTTCCTCGGCATGTTGCGCACTTGTCGCAAGGTTCTAGGTTTTGACACCCAACCAACATCTACGTAGCGCTTTAAGCAGCTGGTGACCTATGGCGCCTTCAGCAGCCTGCACCTTTTTCCAAGACACTACCCAAGTCTGATCGCATCTTGGAAACCATCTAGGATCACCGCCATTCACTCTGGCGCATGAAGCAGCCTATGGACCTTACTATAAGGTAATGCGGAGTGATCGAAGAACAGAAGAATTTTTATAAAGAAACGAAAAGGAAAAAAGGGACCTGAGTTAAGAAACACACCATCAATTGGTACTCCTGGTTCATCTTCTCCCAGTCTACTCTCTCTATTGTAAGCTTCTTCCCTTCTGCTTAGTTCTTCTTGTCGTCTCTTCTCCAATTTCTCCAACTCTTTCTTCTTCAGTTCAAGGGGTTTGACATCCGCTACATCTGATTCTGTGTCTCCATCATTGCTAGCATCTTCCTCTTCACCTTCAACGTCTTCACTCTGTTCTCTAGTCGGTCTCCCACAGTTGTCTCTCTCTAGCGTACTTCCCGTTTGACCTTGTTGATCTTGAGTCTGATCTAAGATTTGACCTCCTCCGCCGGAGCCATCAGCCGTACTAGGTTTCGACATTCTATTTTTCACACGCTGTGATCTTCTTTCTACCTGGTCCTTCTCTATAGATAACTGAGCTAATTTATGTTTATTTGCGATAAGTAAATCTTTTTGAACTTTATTCATCCAGAAAGGATTCTATTAAAATTTGTTGGAAAGAGAGATAAAGTAGATAGATGTGAAATACGAGAATTTGACCACCTAGAAAACTCAAAAATTTTATTTTCGAGAGCTACGCGATGAGAGTGAAGGAAAATAAAACTAGACGAGTTCTACGATGAGGTGAGAGGAAAAGATGGGACAGAATAGCTAGAGAAGGAGAGAAAAAATTTTCTGCTTGAGAACTTCAAGCCACACTTCTCTAGTATTCTGGCCCCGCTCTCTACCGGGCCTCTCGCCTCACGTGATTACTCGTCCACCCTTGGTAATGGACTACAGTTTACCGTCTCAGGTTTTGGGTAAACTCTCAATATTAGAATTTCGATATGCAGGATAGAAGAGTTGAGGCTGCGAACACAAACCTTGTTTCCATGACCTTCGTCCGGTCCCTCACCTTTCAAGTGAGCTATTTTAGCTTCTTCGTGAGCAATTTGCTTCTTGTACTTAGCAATCTTTGCCTCTGCTTTAGCAATCTTAGCTTCAAGGATGGCACCTTTGAAGGGGGTGGCTGCACCAGTAGAGGTGGCATTGCTCGAAGGACTGCTTGTGTCGCTGCTTGGACTGACAGAGTTGCTGTTACTTGAATTACCTTTGAGAATGGCGGTATCGCTGATGACACCTGTTCCAGTGGCATTCTGGGGTGCCTACGACGGAAATTAAGATGTCAGGATGATTTGCACGGCTGAAGCAAAGCATACGGGTCTTTACTGACCACAATGGATCGCGGTCCAATGGTCGAGCCGTAAGCGGCTGAGGCGCTGAGCGACACGACAAAGCTGATCAAAGTGAATCTCATCTTGAAATTCTTTATGTAGGGATATAAAGTAATAAAGATGAAGGTGTGTATGTGTGATGTTCACGATCTGATCCAAATATGTACAAAGTTGGTAAAGTTGAATGTAATTGTTGAAGGCGATGGGGGCTAGTTGACAACTTGAACGGATCACTTTATACCATCAAAGACCAGCGCGTAAGGCAATAATGGTGAGGACGTCGGTATCGGCGTGAAAACTCGGCGGAGCCACTCAAAGACACATTCCAATGCCAACCAGACCCGAAAGGGTCTGCCAAGCCAAGGTTCGCCATTCCGTTCTCCACAAGGAATTCAAAGGAACTTCGACACTCTATCATAGTCGGCAGATGGGGGGGTCTGTCGATTCCGCGACCTGACAGCTAACCCTGGTTTGAGGTCTAGGTGAGGTTGTTTCTCGGGCAGGTTGGTCCTTCGCACTTCAATATGTGTAGAGTGTGGAGTAGCTCTAAGAATATGTGACGTAGGACTGATCTGAATGATATTCTTGCTGGCAAAGGAATTCTTGACAACATCTGCCACGCCAACGTTTCTATCGTACCATTGTCTACTAGGAATCGGCTTGCCTTACCAAATTTCAGGTCACATTGCGTCTCCAGCTTTTGCCACAGGGTCTAACATATCAGGTAACAAAAACTACAAATAATCAAGTTGGTTGTCTTTTGAGCATTGGTTACGCTGTTAACCTCAAATGATGACATTCAACGAAGCATGGTTGCGAGACACAAACTCTCGCATAGGCTTTCCAGACTACATCTAACCTGACGGAACACACTTGGACATGTATATAGTCATATTATTTAGCTTGACTAAGCCCTCTCCGCGCGGCCACGTCCGCCCCTTGCGAGGGGCATATGACTAGATCTCGCTTGGGGAGTCTAACATGCTCATATTTCTACTCACAAAGGGAGCTCAACAGAATAGACCAGGCTGAACCCAAGCAAAACTGTTTTGAATTTGTTTCAAACCTCTTCGTGTGTGTACGTCGTTGTGTTACACAAATACCGTCATGGTGTTATGAAGCTCAACTACATCTGAGAGAAACTCATTAAAGGATGACTGCTTTGTTGCTGGCGGGCAAGTGATGTTTCTAGTCATGGTTGAGATTTGTTTTGTATCCAATGATTCTGTATCTGGTTTTCGGGTGACATATCTAGAATGTGTAACATACAGGAAAAAATAAATGTCGGGGTTAGTCGATGGGATGATAGGAGTCTAGACGACTTTTTTGTAGCGTTAACCGTTCGACAGCCTTTTAAGAGGAAAATTTCTATGCCTAATCGCCATCATGTGATGGAAGTCACAATTACCTCAAAGAACATTGAACTTGAGGTAGACGAATGGCGACGAGAAAGTAGAAAGAAAACCACTCTCATTAGGCACAACGATGAACAGTGCCCCTCATACACAAATGATGTCAGGAATCCTTATCGACATTGAAAGCACGGATTGTGGACGCAAAATTCGTGATTAAATTTGTGGGGAACAAGGATGAATATGGTCTACAAGTTTAGTGAAGTAAAAGTTGAGCAAGTCAACTGAAAGGAAGATCTATGTACAGTGGACTGAGAAAGAAGCAAACAAAGCTACAGCAGTAGAGAACATGAAATGCGAATTGGTAAGGTCGCGATCAAAAAACAGATCCTTGCGGAACAGTCGATGTCCCATTTGCTCAAGGTAAAGTGGACGTCCCATTTGTTGTCGGAACAGTTGATGTACCATTGGTGGTGGGGTCAGTTGATGTCCCGTTGGTGGTGGGGTCAGTTGATGTCCCGTTGGTGGTCGGTTCAGTTGATGTGCCGTTCTTTGCATGGTCTTGGTCTGATTTGTCGTCTTTGTCATGCTTGCCATGGTGTTTGGGTTTCTTCTCATCGTGGCTTTTCTTCTCATCCGGTTTTTTTTTGTCATCCTGTTCGATGCGGTGTGGAATCAATCGAGATCAGTATAAATATCCATATCTAGAGGTAACAAAAGAAATCAAGATCTGAAATCATACCTTTTTTCCATGATCCTCGTCGTGTTTCTTAGCTTTAAGATGAGCAAGTTTATCCTCTTCATGAGCAATTTCCATTTTGTATTTGGCAATCTTGGCCTCCAATTTGATGATCTTAGCCTCAATAGAGACTTTGGATGCAATACCGGTACCATTTACGGTAGAGGTACCATTGGTCGAAGGACTGCTTGAGTTCGTGTTTGGAATGACAGAGGTACCGTTGCTGGAGGTGCCGTTGCTGGAGGGACCGCTGATAGAGGTACCGTTGCTAGAGGTACCGTTTGTGGCTGTACCGTTGGTGACGGTACCGTTGAGGATTGAGGTGTCGTTAGTCTCTGTTCCACTAGAATTGTGACGTGCCTAAAATTGATAATTCAGACGTCAACGAGGATTCTAAAGAGTTTGTCACACGGCTAGAATCAAAAGGGCGGGTCTCTGCTGACCACAAGAGATCGTGGGCCAATGGTTGACCCGTAAGCGGCTGAGGCGCTGAGCGAGACAACAAGGCTGATCAAAGTGAATCTCATCTTGAAAGTGTTTGTGAAGGCGTATGTGTGAAGACGTTTGAAGTAAAAAAGATTTATATTCGGGATATTTACAATGCGGACTTTATTGGCACGAAGACGAAAGACTTGAATGAAGCTGATGATGATGAGGAGATGAGTATCCCAGTGAAGGAGTTGCTGGAGCCTTTATAGCAATTTAAAGACCAGCGTACAAGGCAATCATGGCGAGGACTTCGCTGTCGGCACGAAAGGCCGACCACGCTGCTATGTAGAAGACACGCATTCCAATGTCAATCACATCCAAGGGTCTGCCTAGCCCAGGTTCGCCATCTGGTTCATGCATAGGAGCTTCACTTGATCAAATGGAGGGTCCAAGCGGTTGCCTGTCGAGACCTGTGGACTCACCGTGGTTTGAGGAAATTGTCTCTGTCGAAGAACGCTAGTACATATGAGAGGTGTGGAATAGCCCGTTCGCATGCTAAGAGTGATTTGACTCTTGCGCCATTTTGTTGGCAAATGATTTCGTGATGATTGTTTGCCACGCCAACGTTGCCACCGTGTCATTTCCTATTGAGAATGCGAGCTTGCCTTGCCAAATTGCAGGTCACATTCCTCCTTTACTCGTTTACTTCGGTGATTCTGTGCCACAGGGTCTTACATATCAGGTATCGAAAAGCGCAACATGATAATCAAGTCGGCTTTCTGTTGAGCATTGGATACGATGTTATCATGGAATGAATGCAAGCAACAAAGCATCCTCAATAGTCTCACAGACTTCTCATACCACACACAATGTTAGTTTTTCATGCATCGCGTCAAGTGACATTGCGACCCCAAAGGTTATCGAGCGCTGTATTTTGTGTAGGATAGGTGAATCGAATTCGATGTGAATCTTGGGTATAACCATCAGCCCGATTCCTCCAACTCCTAGTGTCATTTTAGCCCAGCAACTTTGCATCCTTCTCGGATTATCGGAGGATTAGACTTCTGGCTGATCAGCACAAGGTCTCAGATAGGCTGTACAGGCTGTGAACACCATGGTGAAGGTCTTTGGCCATCTTTGAAACGCATTTCGCTTCACCATGGGCGCTTGATGAAAATATTGGAGTGATCAAAGCGCGTCTTGTTCTCGAAGCAATCTTTCTGTTCATGCTCAAACCGGGACACATGGATCACGGGATCGAAGTCAAAATCATTGAAATCATATATCTGGATACTCTATACATACTCATGCTTGAATCTGATGCTTGATACTCTATCATCTGTCGTGGTATTCAACATCCCACGGTGTTCTTTTTATTCTTTCTTTAGTTTTACTCATTTCCATTGAATCCACTCCTACGGACTCAGAATCATCCTCAGACACAGAAAGTTCCGATAAATCCACCAACACTGTTAGAAACACCACTGGTCTTAAATCTCTAGTTTTACCTACTCTTGTACCTCCTTCACCGTCAAAATCTTCGGCTGCAATGTCAACTGAAACTTCTGCTGTTGAATCCTTATCTCCTATCCAACTTTTCATTCAACGAACTACTAATGCACTTAGTAAATTCAACATCAAGAACGACTTGACTGACGAAAATTACAATCACTGGAATTTGTTAATTCACGAGTCTATTGAGTCCCTTGGATACGAGTCTTACTTAGACATTGAGGATTACGTAGATACTTCTTTATCTGAGGAGAAACACAAGAAGGTCAAGTTTCTAATTTCTACCTGGATACTCAGCAAGTGTGATGGAATCAACGGAGAAAGAGCTCGAGATCACTTAACGGTCAGAGATCCGGTCACCAAGGTCATGTCTATAAAGTACGATCCTTATCAACTCTGGACTCACTTTGCGAAATATCATGCCAGCATCTCGGAAGCCAAATTGAAACGTGTCGAGAATCAATTACATTCCTTATCTCAACTTCGCTCCGATACTGTTAAAGCTCACATAGATAAGTTTTCGTCTGTACTTCGTGAATACAACAAGTATGGAGGCCACATGTCAACAGATCAAGAGGCAAGAACTTTGATTAATAGCTTAAAACCAGGTTATGAAATGACTGTACACATTATCTATCGTGTCATAAAACCGTTAACTTTAGAAAAGGTTAAGCACGAGCTACTAATGGCAGAAGAAGAGCAAACATATGTCTCGCCTTCGTTAATCCAATCATCACATCATGCTAATTCGTATCAAGCTAATCCCAGTCATCTCACCAAATGCACCGAGGATCGTTGTGTCGGAAATACGTTTCAAAATCCTCATAAGCCAGAGCAATGTTTTAAAAAGCCTGTCAATTTTGCGAAAAGAGATGAATGGATGAATAAGCAAGACGAGAAGAAGCGATACAAGAAGAGAAACTATCAAACTCAAGTTAATCATGCTGAATCTTCAAATGTCAGAGGTGTGAAAATTGTTCGACCTCCTATCTCTTCTGCCCATGCCATGACTTTTCTCATCGACTTCCAACCTGTCGATATTCAACCAGTACAAACATCAACTCTATCTACGGTACTACCTGATGTTATAACTGTGTTAGATGTGTCCTCCGCCTTCTTGCAAGCTCCGATTGACACGAATGTCTCCCAATCTCGCGACGATGAACCAATCGCTCAAGGTTCTGAACTAATTGATATGAACGCTTCTGCCTCGTCTGCCACCCCTTCTGACGGAATCTGGGCTCTGAACGACACAGGTGCCTCGCACCATATGTTCAACGATTTATCTTTGTTCGATCCCTCTACGGTGAAACCCCTTGAAGACAACAACAAACGTCTTCGTTTAGCCGGTGGTGATGCCTCTTTGGCTGTCCATTCTACTGGTTCGGTTAAATTACGAGCAGGCGACGGAACTGTTTTCACTCTGGCGGATTGCCTCTATGTTCCGGAACTCAGTCGAAACCTCATTGCTGGAGGCGCTCTCTTGAAGAAGGGTGTGGTGACTCTAATCAATTCAACTGATCCCGACTGCTTCAGCTTGGTAATGGGACAATGTGCCCTTTTTAACGGTGCATTCTCGGGCAATCTCATGCTTCTTTCGCTTGAACCTGTGAGTTCGGTGGTGTCTACTCAGCTTAATCATCTTCAGTCACACTCATGTCATGTACAACATCAACGTTTAGGACATCTGAACCACAAGTACCTAAACGACATGGTCAAGATGGGTAGCTTGGATGGACTGTGCAATTCTTCTTCTACAACCAAATCTTGTCCTATCTGCATTCAATCAAAGTCTAAACGACTTCCTTTTTCTGGCTCACGCCCTCGGGCTTCATCATTTCTTCAGAATGTGCATGTAGACCTCAGTGGGATTAATCGTGTTTCTGGTCTTAACAATGAATCTTATTATATTTTATTTACCGATGATTTTTCTTCGTTTCGCCATATTTTTCCTCTCTGCAATAAGACTAAAGAATCAGTTTTTATCATCTTTACAAAGTACATTGCCTTGGCTGAGCGTCAAACTGGATGTCGCGTGATACAATTCACTTTAGATCAAGGTAGTGAATTCATTAATACTATCATGCAGAGTTTATGTGAAGACACGGGTATTGTGCTTCACATCACTGCTAGTTATACACCTGAGCAAAACGGTGTTGCTGAACGAAGTAATCAGACGATTGTTACTCGAGCACGGTGTTTTATGGTTCAGTCGGGTGTCCCTTTATCTTTCTGGTATGAAGCTTGCTCTACGGCGGTTTTTATAACAAACAGGACCATCACCTCGGCTTTATCTAATGGAAAGACTCCATACGAGGTCTGGTACTATCGTAAACCTAACATTGAACATCTCAGGATTTTTGGATGTCAAGCAAATGTTTTGATACGTAAGGAAGCAAGATCGAATAAACTTGATGCTCTAACTACTGAGGGTGTACTGGTCGGGTTTCAAGACGACAACTTCAATTACAGAGTGTACGACTTAGAAACTCGTAAAGTTATCCTTACGCACAACGTGGTGTTTTGTGAATCAGTTTTCCCTTTTTGTCGATCTACCTCTACCACTGGACCTGTTCCTTTATCGCCTTTGGTGTTCGAACCTGAAAGTCAACCGTTGTCTGTTGAAACACCGAATCGATTTCAGATTCTGTCAAACGATGACGAAGAGGATGAGGAGGTTGGGACCGCACCTCCACTTTTTCCAACTTCACCTGAGGCACCGGCTGCTCCTCCACCTGCTATTGCTCCATCTGCTATTGGTGGTGTTAGGACTGATTCAGCACGGCGATCTCTCAGAACCAAGGATCCTGTGGATTACAAAGGAATGGGAGGACACGCGTACCTCGATGATTGTACTTATGTGTCAGCATTCAACGTTTTGGCCTCAGGTTTCTCATCTTCAACCATAGATGTTCCAGTTCCCAAATCATACAAATTTGCTATCACCGGGCCTGAGGCTGAAATGTGGCGTCAAGCATGTCAGAAAGAATATGATTCTCTCATCAGTAAAGGGGTCTGGGAGCTGGTTGATCCTCCACCTGGTAAGAATATCTTACGGGGTTTTTGGTTGTTCCGCAAGAAGTTCCACTTGGATGGTACAGTTTCAAAATTCAAAGCTAGATTTGTTGTCATGGGTAATATGCAACAGGAAGGAATTGATTTTCATGAAACATTCTCACCTACCGGAAAACCATCTTCACTTCGACTCATTATTGCTTTCGCGGCTATTCAAGGCTGGGAAATTCATCAGATGGACGCCGTCACTGCTTTTCTGAACGGAATCCTGGATGAAGAAGTCTATATGTATCAACCTGAAGGGTTCAGCAAGGGGTCTAGGAGTAAGGTCTGCCGGTTGCGACGGTCACTCTATGGTTTGAGGCAATCACCAAAAATTTGGTATGATGATGTTGTTACTTTTCTCGTCAGCATCAGTTTTGTTCAATGTCCTCTGGATCCATGCATTTACACTCGGACAACATCCAATACCTTCACGGCAATTTACGTTCACGTCGATGACATGGCTATTACCGGAAATGACATAGCTACTTTTAAATCTGAAATCAGCTCAAAATGGGAGATGGAGGATTTGGGGGTTGCTACTACGGTGGTCGGCATTCAAATCATACGGCAAAACCCTCACTGTTACACAATAACTCAGTCTGCTTTGTCTCGAGCGGTGCTTGAGCGATTTGGGATGCTACAATTGAAGACAGCTTCGACCCCTTTTTCCGCTGGTCTCAAGCTCTACCGCGCAAGTGATGATGAGGTGGCTGCATTTCAACTTGAAAACTTAAATTACAGGAGCGCTGTTGGGTCTTTAATGTATCTCGCTCAGTGCACTCGCCCCGATCTTTCTTACGCCGTAGGTGTTCTTTCCCAGCATCTGGACAGACCTGCCCGAAAACACTGGGACGCTGTGATTCACGTTTTTCGGTATTTACTTGGTACAATAAATCTTGGCATTTCTTACAGTGGTGATCAGTCTTCTACTACGGTCAAAGGTTTAAAGAGTTTCAGTATGCCAACTTCTCACTGCGACGCTGATTGGGCTGGAGATCGGGAGTCTCGGAGGTCGACCACAGGCTACATCTTCCAGCTTGCTGGCGGTCCTATTTCTTGGAAGTCTCGCCTCCAACCTACGGTAGCTTTGTCATCTACGGAAGCTGAGTACCGTGCCATCACAGAGGCTGGCCAGGAACTCGTTTGGTTGCGTGGAATGCTGGCTGTTTTCGGTTTTGAGGATCCTAACCCCACTGAATTGAGCAGCGACAACATGGGTGCTATTCATCTCACCACTAAGTCAATCTTTCACGCTCGAACAAAGCACATTGAGATTCAGTATCACTGGATCAGGGAGGTGGTTAAGCAAGGTGCATTAGTTCTTAAACATTGTCCAACAACTCAAATGATGGCCGATCTCCTAACAAAACCGCTTGGACGACAACAATCATCGGTCTTTGATCAACAAATTAGTCCAATTCACTCAAAATCTACAATGCTCGAGTGTCCTGATATACGACTAGATGTAGGCATCAATGTGTCTGAAGTACGTGTGCCAGATGACGATCAAACCATCAAGGATACATGCACACGCATACGTCTACATATACCATGTGTTCTTTATATGGATGAACCCATCGTGAATTATAACAAAACTATCTTCGAGATCGAAGTACACGATCACTAGGTTGACTGGGCTGCTGTATCTTCTTACTCGCGCGTACTGCACTTGCTCGAGAGGCTCTACCCCTCGATGTATCAATCGCGCCTGTTTCTTCTTCGACTACTTTATCCTTGCTGACCACAGTCGCCGGCTGTCTACCCGAGCGCCGTCGTGGTTCGGGTTTAGAGGCGCTTACAGAGCCGGAAGTCCTTTGAGACGCCAGAGGAGGAGATGATAATGGGCTGGAGATGCCGTCGTCGTTGTCACGCCCCGCTTTATCGTACTTGATGGGAATCCCAGGGTCTAACTGGACATCCATCATCATTGGAACGTCCAAGGAAGGTTGGGGAGATTTTGGAACACCCTTTTTCATTCTGCGCTTCCGAGGGGAGACAGGCCGGGGCTCTTTATTTTCTAGGTCGATCTCGACAGACTCGGAGCGTCCTCGCTTGTGACCATTGACGTATGAAGGCTTGGATGGACCCGGCATAGCCATGGTATTCACCCTATGGTCGGCATACAACTCATATCCATCGGCATCAGCAGGGCGCTTCGATTGCGTAGACTGCACAGCCGGTCTGATCGGAACTATCACAGTCTCTTCGGGCTGGATGCCTATGTTGTTCAGCTATGTTCAGTAGTGGAAAGTTACAAATTAGTGACTTATTCATATGCCGGCGAGCGCAAGTAGTGAGTTCAGGAAATGACAAAGTACTTCGCTTGGTCCTTCCTGAGGTGCATTCGCCAAAGACACGATGATAGACTGATTGCGGTATTCTTCCTGCAGACGTCGTCTAATCCGCAAAGCCAAGATGATCTTTTTCCATCGTTTTAAACACCTCTCTTGAAGCTTGGAAAATTCTTTCTCCTGAGCAATATCTTCTGAGGCAAAATAAGCCTTTTTCGCATTCATGAGGAACCAAGGAGAAGGTAGAAATAGGCTTGGTTAAAATCACAGCCATACGGAAAAAGAATATCGTGTCCTTGAGCTCACGTCCAATACAAATTCAGCCTCCAATTCCGGCACGATGATCCCCTGAATGACAGGAGTGGCACGCCGTTTGTGAAATTCGAATGAGACCTGTGAGGTTAGTGAATAAGGTGAATTATCAACGCCAAAAAACCAGTAGGTCCGCCCATCTTCTCAAAACCAACTTACTACTGCATCAGCGTAAGATACCTGAAGCTTCTTGGCCGTCTTGGCGATTCCTTTATCTGTACAGTCACCAGTCGTTCAGCCACGATGTTCAGGTTACCAGACGTAATCAGACAAATGAAGCAGGCATCCAGTTTGTGGATGAACTTCGATGAGAAATATAAATAAATGACAAGGACAAACATGGCAAATGTTTGGCTCCTTGTGGCAGCATATGGGGAGCGAATAGATCGAAGTTCCCGTAGCCGTTTCGAGGTATAATACCCTTATTCGAAAAAGGTGACGTTAACGAAATTTTAGTGCCGTGTAACATTGAGAAAGCTCCTCTCAATGTCCCGAGGAAAGATGCTTACATTTACGATGGGTGGTGGTATCAAAAGCTCTGTTTGCCATTCTGCAAAAAGGCCCTGTAGGGCAACTTCTTGACCTTCCATCTTTAGCAACTCTTCTTCTCGCTTTCTGTTGATTGTCACTGTGCGCGGTTTGACTAGCTTGAGGGCTTCTTGTCCGCCTTTGATACGTCTGCCTTCGCGCATGTATGTTTCTGCGCTTTTGCAAACGACTACTGACGATCGTGGAAAAACTTGTTCTCCACGGAATATTCCAACGGTCTTGCGGGGATGTATGACCTCTTCACGTCGTAAATGTCGTTCCAGAGCGAAACTTGATGATTTAGAAAGGTCAAAGACTTGTCCTGTGCGGTGCATAGTATGCACAAGACGATACAAGAAACCTAACATACTTGGGATGGTCTTTGAAGCCCCCAACAGTGGTTGGCAATGCTTCCGTAACCTGAGCCTTTGAGATCTCCTCATCCTCCTTTTCATCTCTTCGCTGTAAAGGGAGTTTATTGAGTTCGAGGTTGTGAATCCACCAATGATGAAAGTCAAAGTGTGGCACTCACTAGCTTGTACGGTCTCTTGAGTTTGATCGTGGCTTTTTCAAACCAATCTGGACTTCCCTTCTTTGGTGGTAGTCGAGACTTCATGGTTGTCGCACCAAATGAATGGGCATAGCGGGCGGTTACGTCGCGGATGAAATGATCTATCAAGAGTAAAGTAATCAGTATCGCCAAAACGGTCCAGAACATCGTACAATGATACATTTGATGTTAAGTACCTTCTTCAAACGCAATGACATACAACATCCTATTCTCGGGGTTGGACTTAGTAGGTTCCATCAAATTCTTACACCTCGTCCGTTTTCGAGTTACATCCACACAATACCACTCCCTCAGTGGTCGAGAGTAGACTTCAGTCCAAAAGACTGGTGGTCGGTTCATTTGTGCTGGTTCTGGGCTGGGACTCTTTGTCCAATGCTTTGATTTCACAGGTCTGGCTTTTCTTAACTTCACAATCGGAGTTACTTTAGACGCCTTACCCACAGGCCGACTTCTCCAGCCATCAGGATGATGGGATTCGCTTGGACTACTTCCGCCAATTTGATTAGGCTCCAGAATTCTCGAGGCAAGCTTTTGAGCCAAAGGTATCTCCTGGTCATCGGTACTATTTCCATCGGCCGAAGTTAAGACATAGTGTCGAGATGACGTAGCGCTACTATTGATGGACTTCATCTTGGCAGCCTTTGCAGCTTTGGTTGCCTTCATGGCCCATTCGCCCTGCTTGGGCTTCGACTTCGAAGCTTGAGAGGCTACGGAGAGCATTTTTGACTGGTCTGATTTTTTGGTCTTGTTGTCGGACCTCGTTTTCTTTGCAGTGGACACCGAGCCTGTTGCCCCTTTATCGCGGGGAGTGCGTGATCTTCCCGTCTGCTCCTCAGTCGAGAGATCATTAGGGGTGTCTGTCTTAGATGATTTGCCACCACCACCAGCACCGCGCCAAGTGACCGGTTGAAGGCTGAATACGAGCCGAGCCGGAACGTTGAGAGCCCTCAGCAAGCTGGTAAATAGCTGTGCCGACATGTCACGTGAGCCCTTCATGAGTACTGCTCGTTTCATCAAGCTTTTAGAGCCATGGATGGGTTCGCCGGTCTCAAGTAGATTCAGAAATGGATCATCCTCGACTTCTTTTCCTTTTCCTTTGGCTGAGCTAGTTTTCGAAGAAGACTGGATGGTGTCGTAGAGAGCTTCTGCCTCCGTCCATGTACGAAGTCTCACACTTTCCAAGGATTCGACGATCTCGAAGGATTGCCACCACCATGAGACTAGATCCTTTATAGCTGAATCAAATAGACGAGATCTATCTATTTCAGATGGATGCGTTTGAGGTGAGAAAGAGCTGAAAGCGTTGACGAGTGACAGTGGTACCATGGACAATAGGCGCGCCTAGAAAGTCAAGAGCCAAGCAAGATGGATTAGGAGAGATCGCGGATGCAGGCCAAGGGGATCGGCTTACTTGAAGAAGTTGATCATTGAGTAAAAGATTACGAAATCGCCCCGCTGCCAAAAGGGCCAAAGTGTGTGCGCGATGAGTCTCATGGCGTATCATGCGCTCCATCGCACTGTTCGGGTTCTTTCTCCTATTCAACGCGTTCGAAGCTCAGTGAGAAAATGGGAGAAACATGACAGGCCTTGGATGACCGCGATGAAGGCGCACTTATGAGTAGAGTTGGCACCAGACTTTGAAAGCACGATGTTGAAAGCAGTAGTATCAGGCCTTGATAGACTGTCATCGTTGTCGGCTGATAGGTCGGCTTCCTCTTGCACGTCCACTTCCTCCCAATCCATTTCTTCGTCATCGTCATCCTCTGCTTCAGACGAAGACGGGCGAGGGAAAATTCGATCATTGTTCATGATAGTGGTTGTTGGAACGGTAGCAGGGATCCAAGATGCAGGTTGACCATCTTTGGCAGCTGACTGGGACGCATATATGTGTCTGCCCCTGGCTTAAATACAGGTCCGATCCCGGGTCAGCTGGCCGGGGTTCAGTACCGAAAATTTGAAAAGGTGAAGATTCTGAAAAAATGTTGCTTCGACATTCCCAAGAGTCTGCCGCTCTATGTCTCGACCCTTGTTGTAAAACTTTGCTCCTCACTTCTTGAAAAGTACATGACTATGTCCTTCATGCTGTCTCAAGTCGAATTGTTTACCGTCTAAGTTTTACAAGCCAGCTTGGATGGCACAGTAACATAGTACTGGACGTGCTCAACTCATGATTTGCTGTTGATCAGCAGCTAAGCTCTTCAACACGACTGTTTGGAACTTCTTCTAATCCACTTTGGAAGAAAGACTCGCGTGCTTTTCGTGGGAGCGCAATAGAAGATCTCTCTTATACAAAGAGTCAGACGCAAGACTTACATGTGTTGACCTCTGTGATCACAAATAATTCATTTGCTTGCCAAAGATAGTGAATGTCAGAGTGGAACAAATATGTAGTGAAGCATGGCATCCAAAATGGAATCGTCCACAAAATAACAATCGTCAACATCTAACAGTGGAGTATTGCTTGCGGATCAAACACAGCCATATCATCATATACATAGCCCGCTTCATAGAAATCAGACAAAACTTTCAGCAATGAAGTTGCTGAAAACAAGTCATCGGAGTCTCAATTGTTTTGAATCTCCGGAGGTTATACAATGAGTGTGGTATGAAGAAAGTTATGGAATGATTCGGCTTTTGACATTTGGAATAGAATTAAATTCAGCATTTAGACCCAAGACGGCAACACCAAGAAAATCGTAAACTCGTTTAAAAGATTCGAGATGTGGTTTGATTTCTTCTGAAATTTCTTTTGGCCATTGTAGTGTGTTTGGAATGAGATTGTGATCATTGGGTTTCCTTCTGTGTAACATTTCATTTTTCATAATTGCAAAATGCTTCAATGGTAATCCAAACAAAGCGCAGGTCACAGCTTCTGCGCCATCAATCTTTTGATATTCCCAATCTTGAGGTGATGGTTTGAGTTTAAACACAGGGCTTTGATCTCCTTCTTCCCAAATTTTATATGCTACTGGGTATCTACGAATTTCTTCAAGGAAATTTCTCAATCGGCTTAAAAATCTATCTTTAATGTTAGGTAAGCTGATAAACAAATTGGCTTCAGGTGAGTCAAACCAACTTGTCGTGTCATGTAAGAAAGTAGGCAGTTCTACAAATCTACCTCTTAAGATCTCATAAAAGTCATGTAACTTTTGGACATGGCGTAGGATATAAGTACTGGTGTCTTTGATCATTTCTGGGCGTGATAATTGAAAGATTGTGTCAATTCTTTGAATCACAGGTACACTCAGACCTGATCTTGCGAACTCTTCCAATTCTTTCTTTTCAAAAAGTTTAGTATAATTTTCCAAGTTTGCATCTGACATGACTTTCATTGTTTTGAGTCTTGAGCGACAAACTTCTGGTGAAATAATACTTTCGAGTAAATTGGAATCATCATGATTATACCTAGTCAGTTGTTCGAGGTCGGAAACATAACTATCCCAATCTGCGAACTTTACATCATAAAAAATTGGCCAATGTTCCTTCAATCTGAGGTTCTCCGAAAGTTCTAAAACATTGGGAGTGAATCTGTCATAGTTCTCAGCAGTCATCTTACTGATCATGAATTGATCGAATTGGGTCATCACAGCGCTGACCCTCCTTAATCCCTCAGCTCCAGTGAAGTTTTCAAGAAATTTCTGCATGAAAGGACCCCAGTCTGACCAACTTTTGATCAGTCCAGTATTCCTGATATGATCGAAATCTGTTTGGCTTAGATGAATACGCAAGTTCTCTGTCTGATCATTTTCTTTGAGCGTTGTCTCCAACATTGCGGCGATTGCATCTCTTGCTGGCAAGAGAGAGTAATTTGTCGACAGGTTTGTTTTCTTTTGGGAATCTCCCTTTCCTTTTGAATCATGGACAATCTGATCTTGTCGGCTCATCCATTCGCCTAGTCGTAATTTTTGGGCTTTAGACTTTTTCTTTCTGATCTTTCTGGCGTTTTTTGTGGTTCCATCTTCATCGGGTATCTTCAGATTTTTACCTTGTGCCTCGAGCTTCGTTTCATTTGAGTCTTCATGATATGATTTCTCGCTGCTAAAGATCAAATATGAGTTTAAGAAATCATCAGAATTCAATCATGTCAGTTTGTACACTTCGGTAACTTGTAAGACCTTCAAAGATAGACTCCCAAATTCTTTCTCCACTTACCTTTCACTTTGTTGAGCGAAATTCTCTGACCGTAACTTAGGATTGATCAAACCTAACACGTCTAAATTGATATTCATTGGATCACCATCTCTAAAAGTTAAATTCAGAACAGGTATGACATGTAAGTCAAATGTTTCCTGTGATTTGTTGTATGCATTGAATTGTGAAAAAAACACCACTGACCTTGGTCCGCGAGATTTTTCTAATCGACCGAGATATCTTCTACGAACTGGTTCAGTAGGGTCAAAAACATCGTATGTATCTTCATTATGATCTCCCTGACCTCTCGGGTCATACCTGAAAAGCAAAAACCCCGTTTCTCTTCAGCTTTTGTCCACAAAGCTAGTTCTAATATACCTGAGAGTCTACTCACTGGGCCTGATGTCCGTGTGTATGTCTTAAATAAACTTGAACATCACGACTTTCGATTCCACCGATTGGTTGTGTTACACCATTAGGATAGCCGGAGTGCAGAGTGTCCCCTGGTATAGGTTGACTTGAAAGTTTATTCATAAAATAATGTTTGTTTAATTTAGAAGTATATTTGTATGATGATGATTGCTGAAACTCACTATCTTTGAAGCTGTCCCGATTGTACCAATGAATCTAGGTATTGTTTTACAAAGTCCGGAGAGCTTGTTCCAGAAGGATCATGATCAGGATGCTGACCAGGACTGGCAAACGTTCCAAAGTGTCGATTTTGGAATCCTTGCTATATTATTGGGACGATTTCATTACATCAGACAATCAAACGACTCTTTGATTATCAAAAATGATCCCTATGTGAAAGGGAGACATACTGGGATGTGACCATGAGCTCCAAAGCTAGGTTCCATTGGTCCATGCTCCGAGGGACTTTGATTTCCATGCATTGCGTGCGGTAAAACACCATATAACTTCACAGGTTTTCCATTCACGGTTGGTTGTAATGGGTCGTTTGTTGAATGTACAGGAATGATATTGATTTCAAATATTCTAGGATCAGTGGTACTTTGCATTTGATGATGCCCAGTCATGGATGGATCAATAGAAGATGATAGACTATGGGAGGGAAAATTGGTATCCTGAATTCTAGGGTCATGATTGATGGGAATGGGTGACTTGGGTTTCAATGCATCCTTGGGTAACATGGCAAAAGCCTTCATGGCAAGGCATGAGTGTATGGTGAAGAGGACATAGTATAACTTCATCTTTTTTAAGTATTTGATTTCGACAACCTGGTTAATTATCTATGATCTGCATGAGGTATCAAAAGGAAGAGTTATATATATTTCTTGGCTGGTGATATTCGATAAGATTCTAAAAGTATGAGAGAAAGGGCCTCTTTTAAGCTTGAATACCTGGGCGCTGCGATTGACAAAAAGTGGAACTGACTTGTTTTATGTGTCTGATATTGTTCATAACGTGTTATCAATGTGGTATCTATTGGCATATTACACTGTACATTCGGGCCAGTGACAAAACTTATTTCTGCTTGGAATCAGGATTACATTTCCCTCTCAAGTTTAGCCGCAAAATAATATCATTTACGGCGTACATAGCAAATCCAAAACGAAGATGCTGCGTGAATTTGAACTGTAAGGACGGGGCAATTTTTTCAATTTGTGGGCAGGCTGAAGACTGAATTCTAAACATCCAAAGAAATACCTGTGACGTGCGTTAAATTCTGATGCAAGGGTGTTTGTGGGCCTGGCCTATCATCACGATCCCTCGGCTCCACCATGTCTGGACTTCCGGCTACCTCGGATGCTGGCTGCTGCCAGCAAAGAAGATACAAAACTTCATCACCCATTCATCAGATGATTCTTTCGATATCCTTGGAATTCAAACAATCCGGTTCTTCTATCAAGAAACCTCATCCATATCTGCAGAAAACCCCAGAGTCCTAGACCCAACCACAGAGGCAGCGTTGTGAATCTATCTTGTGAAATCTGAAGTCTTCATAGTACTAATGAAAGGTAGTACTAGTGATCAAGATCAGAATAATTCCAAAGAGAAATGACTAAAGAGACAGTCAGTTGGGGTTAGGTTGGGTTGAATTGATTTGGATTATATCTTTCCGCAGAGAGGTGATTGGGATTCATCATCAAATCTGGATTTTCATAAATTAAGAGCTGACTCAACCCACCTTATACCAGCAGGTCGTGAACAATTCCCCGCCAATTTGCTCGACTTTTGCGAGCAAAATTGCGCAAGAGATATGAAATTGTGTACAAATGCCAGCAAAATTGAACTTTGAGAGTCCTAAGACTAATGAGCCCTCCTCTTGTTTATGTACACGTAACAGCTGCTTGTTGGTGGATGAACTGATGCGTATTGAGGAAATCATCTCTCGATGGAATTTAAGACTACAGCTTTTTTCAAAACTTCATTCTAGTTGCAGTGATGGCTTACCTAATTATACTTTCATTGGAGGTGTATCCATCTTCCTACTTATCACTTTTTACCAGACAAATTCACAAAGTCATTTGAGCGTTGATGAGCTCTACTTGAATGTTGTATCTATAAAACCATCCACTCACAACCTATTGTTCTTTCTATACTCGGGTCATCGATTTATATGAATCTTTTAAGCTATCTTTCGGATTCCTCAGAATATTCTCTTCCTATCTGTCAGATAATTTAATTTACGGTGGTAAAACATGGATTTTCTTAGACTATTGAAACCTCGCGCTCTCAATCAATTGCCCACCAACCAGGAAGTACCTAAACCCAAGAAGGAAGTGCCTAAAGTCGCAAAGGTAGCTAGAGAACCACTTCGACTATGTATCATGGAATATGCAGACGGTCACTTAATCGCATCAAAATTTAAAGTTTTTGATGAATACAAGAGAACTGAGTATGTTGGTCGTTTTTTTCTCGATAAAAATCAAAACATGGTGATCGAAATCAAGAATTCCGATGAAACTCGCGTGGAACTTCATCTACGCAAAGTATGTATTCGAATCCTTCTGCAAGGATTCAAATATTTGTGCTCATAGTGATTTGTTCTGGTGATCATCTTGCGAGGACGTAGTTGGCAACTGGGGATTGCACCTTTGTTGCTGATCATCAAGCAGGTGTTTCCGTCACTTTATCTCTTGGTAATGCGAGGTTTGACCGCTGGACACTTCGTCTACGCGAACACAAATATACGGTGACAGCTTCAAATGTTGGGCCGATTGCAATCTTATGGGCCGATAGTGATAAATCAATGATCGCACGATTACACTGTAGGTCATCGCTTATCGATTAGGGGAAAGAATTCTTTCTTGAACTCGATTTGAAACCAACACTTCTGTTTTACTACGGTCATCTGATCAGTTTATAGCACAGCTCGAGTCGGTTGTTTCTCTAGTCGAATTGTATCAGACGTACATCTATCCGCATTGCTCAGTGCCATCATCTGGTACTACCGACAACATCCTTATTTCGGTTTGGAAAGGTTTGTAAAATTGGGGATCGCGAATCGTCCTGTACAGAGTAGCTCTTCCAATTACCCGACTCTTCGACGGCAGACAGCCACAATTTCCAGCGCAGACAGAGTCAATGCAAACAATCTTCGCCGGCAATCGATTGCAGTTTCCAGCGCAGACAGAGTCAATTCAAACAATGTTCTCCAGCAATCGATTGCAATTTCCAGCGCAGACAGAGTCAATTCAAACAATCTTCGCCGGCAATCGATTGCAATTTATAGCGTCAATAGAAATGACACAACCATAACTTCAAGTTCAAGGAGCAGAATGTTGTCTCCGGAGCCAATTCTCGAGGAGCCAACTGATTGGGAAAATTGTGATCCTGGTCCATCAAACCATCAACGATGTTACCATCATATTGAAACTGATGCAAAGTGATGGAGTTTCCAATTTCATCGAGCTTATTCATGGACACAGCCTCGCTATAAGCCAACCAGAGTTGAACTTTGAAATTGGACCAATTATATACATCTTGGATACATGAAAAGTCATCTGGCATAAAAGATACAATTTACTTTGACTAGCTCAGTCTTGGTAGTATACCGTGATTTCGATATATCTTTGTTTCTTTTATCATTCTAGGACTTGATTATATCTATCTATTCCCTTCCATCTTCTTATCTCTTATGTGAACTTCAAGAAATTACCCGAGAGGTCAAGGAGAACATGGATAAATGCGTGTAAAGAAATTGAAACATGTAGAACTTCGGACAGAGATATTTTGGAAACCGATGAGAAATTTCAAACCTTTTGAGAGGTTTCAAGAACGTTGACTATAAAAACTAAAGTCGATTTGAGCGCATCAAGAAATTTTTGGAATATCCTTCACAAAATTTATTATGAAAATGAAAGGCAGCTTTGAATACCTAACTAGAAAGTGTCAAAGACCCAAAGAGACATAATCTCATCAGCAGGAAAGAGAGTTTGCCCAAACTTCAGTTGAACATGTTTTTCATGCACTTGAGCTGATGCAGAATCTGAATGTACGTACTCAAGTGTTCCATTCTTCTTTTCTTTACATATCTCAATGATCTTTGAAGTGTATGGGATGCAAAGTTGAACATGGCCCTCAACTGCCTCAACTCGCTTTGTGGCACGCGTTGCTTTTGGCGTCGTGACTCGTGACCTAACCTCAGGGTATTAGACTTGAAGCATGTGACTTACACATGTGTACATACGTATGTAAAGAGTTAGGGTTTGGCGAAAAAAAAGTTGATCTCTTGTGGAGGATGGGCGATGATGATGAACTTTATCAACACAAACAAAACAATGAATAACTCAATCACCTTCAGACGAGTACCATGGTCCACTCCGGCAGAATTCTTAGGAGTCTTTGACTCGCTCTTCTCAACCACGAACCCTGACTTAGTCAATGGACTCATCCATCTTCACGCCTGGTTTCTACGTGCTCCATCTGCCCTGCCACCAGCTATTCAATCAACTTATATGCTTCTGTCTCTCCTCACGCCGGCTTGCGATGAGGTTCATCGATCTGGACCAGAAAGGAGACTAGCATTAGCAATGGCACTGACCAGATTTGTCAATTCGATGGTCGATCCACTTCAAACAAGCATGTTTGCTCGTAGTATCGCAGACCTGGCTCGACAATTATCGCTTCCTCTTTCGCTTGTTCAATTGAGGCATAGATCAACACACGAAGAATTACCGAGCGAGACAGTTTTGCTTGATAGCGCACGCATCGTCCGTTCAGTTCCTCTGCTTAAAGTTCATTCGATAATGCGGCAAAGACAAACAAAAGACGATCTGTCCTGATAGTATTACCTTATTGTGGCCCTTGACTTTTGCCGATCTAGGCCGTCGATTGGCTTTACACTCGATATTGGTATCCGACCATGAATCAAATGGTTTCAACTACCTCTCAACCTTGCCCATCAACATCTCACGATGTGATTACAGATGACATTGAGCTTGAAGGCCTGAGGAATCTGTTGAAGGACTACAAGCGAGCTCGGAAACGCGAATTGATCGATGCTACTGAGTCACTTTCATGCCGTCAGATTTCTCAGAAATTAGAAACATGGCTTGATCAACGTGTTGCTCGCGAAGTCAGAAACTATACACTTGAAGGGACTGGTGAGGGTGGTGAGGAAGACGAAGAACTTGAGCGAGAGCGTCGAGCCATAGAGATCTTTGTGCAGGAACTCAGTTCGGTTGGAAATCTGGTGCCGCGTGCCATCAAGTCCGTGATACCCTTCACTCTTCAATATTCAGCGCTAACGGGGATGATTCGGACTCCGAACACGCTAAGCTCTTACAATCTTTTTTTGCAGGAAACGTCCCTCGAAGCTACAAGCTCGGCTTGCACCTGGTCTTCGTGACCTCTACTTACCGTTACTTCTCGATCTACATAGCAAATACCCTCAAACGCTTGTTCGTGCACTACTTGACAATCTCGTTGGAATGCTTATAACATTACCACAAGATCACCACTCGGTTCCTTCCTCGATGCCCTCAAGAGCTGACGATACCCATTATCTAAGCTGTGCTGGCTGGATCATCGAATTACTGCCTTATGTCGATCGGGCGAGTTTGGAGGTTTTCTTGAAATGCTTACTCTCGAATCCGAATCGCTAGTTCAGTTCCTTCTCGATTTTTATCAGATTATGGTCATTCTCATCTGCTGAACAATTTAAGCTCACTGTTGTTCATTTGTTCATTCCTATTTATCCATTATAGCTGTTTGTCCATTGTCAAGATGTTGACAACGGTTGACGATGTCATCGAAGGTAAACAGATTGAAGGCATACAGAGTTTACTCGGTGTACTTCAGCTAGCACTCAATCAACCACCTGTGGATGTTTCTGATCTAATGAAAACTGACGATGAGCTTAGGCAACGCTTTGAAAGATGGGAGGCCGCTTGTGGTCAATCAAATCGACCTGGTGTAAGTGAGGAGATGGAGATAGAAACAATTCAGGGCGATGAAGAGGAGAGTGAAAATGGTGGAACAGGGTGGAGGCTGATGGGTAAAAGTGATTGGAAAAATTGTCCGATTGGAGTACTACCTGATGGTTTCTTACCTCAATTACATAATTGACCATGATCTTTGATGAAGAGGACGTCCCTTGTATACTTTTGCGTGGTCTTTTTGGCATCAGTGGCATGTGCGATGATGAATATGATGTATGTTCTACTTTCCATCATTTTTGGAAAGCTAGGAGAAGGCAATGTTGTATGTCAAGAGAGTATTGAGGACAACATTTCCAACAGGTATACCGGAACTCAGAGAGCAGGTCTATCTCAGAAGTACCAGCAAGATTGAGAATGTCAGGCTACACTACCAGCAACACCGAAAGAGTTATACTCTGGAATTTGGAGCACAGCCAAAATAACAACTAAAACCTACCATGTAATGTCTTCGACAAAGTTCAAAATTTATGCAGGCTTTGTACCTGCAACCATATTGAAGAGGTCATCTTTTCAAATTTCTAAACCTCATGACTCAATGAAAAAAATCGCAACCCGTATTGTCGCCTACTCCACAAATCACAATTACACTGGCCAATATGATTACAGTTCTCTGTGAACTTAAAATTTGAATCTCATCACAAGCGGTTTTTTTGGTGCTTGGTTTTCTTTTTCTTTCTTGTGGCTGTTACTCCAACCAATTCCCAAGACTTGGTTCTAAAATGAAAGGTTGCACCGGGATAGGCTTTATCTGCGGTAGTATGTACATAGTGAAAATGTTTTGTTGATGTACGATCAATTCAAATGATTACTCAACGAGAAAGGTAATAAAGAGTACAATATTCTCTAGGGTAGTATATGCAATAAGAAGTTTAAACCTTTTTGTTGAAGAGTAGTGAAGCCCAGCCAATTGATCGACTGACAAGAATCCATAAAGAAGATTTCCATCCGTTCTTTCACGCCTCAGAGACTTTTAGACACGTCAGTGGGTACAACACCCTGAAAGGCCGACGAAGATCACCAATTGGCATTTTCCACCAACTGACAAGATTGAGGTAGGCATTCTAGAAGTACGGAAAAGAGTTAGAGTCGAAGGGCAGACAGTTAATCACTTTGTCTACCCAGCATATGTTCATGATCATTTTAAATTTAGGGCTCAGGCTGCACGTACCTGGCAATGAGGTTTCCTGGGCATAGCATCTGAATCCTGGCAGCTCTTTTGGGATTTCTTCCCCAATGACGTGCCCGATCACATCTAGAAGCCAAACAGCTCTAGTGAACACCATGTTGAAAGAGAAGAATCTACAATACTTACTAGCATGTTGTTTTTCGCGATACATCCAATACCGCGAGGCTTGAACACGGAATTCAGCTTTCTCTTGCTTGGAATCCCCAAACTTGTCTTTATACTTGTGACAATCCTTGAAGACAATGTGATCCGCAACGTCTAGATCAAAGGCAGAACACCAGGAGTTAGTGACGAGAGTCACTTGTTCAAGAATATGATAAAACTCAACTATATTTTAAATCTGCTCTTGGTGGCGGATCATCTACCCAACAATCTTCTGCTTTGCAGGAATAGTGTTTTCCTCTGACTTGACAACCTGGTATAGTTAGGAAAGAAAGCCATCAGGACTTTAAACTACGAAAACGTAATTGTATGGAGAATGCCAGGAAATCCAATATCATAGGATGAGTGCTTACCTATCTTTCCTGGGCCTAATGAGACAGCATTGAAAGTGGTACTGCACTGCATTGCGGCACTGGCAGAGCGCCAAGCCATGGAAAATATCGCCAAATATGCGAAAGTGAACAAGGTATGCATCACTTGAAGGATTGTGTGTGTGCTAGTAGCCTTTGGGTGAGGTGTATATAGAGTTGGTGTGATTGAGAGAAAAGGTTCAATTGTGCGAAAAAGAAGAGAAGATTGTTTAGGTTTGAAATAAAAAGTACAACAAATCCTTCAGCAGGTTCACTAAGGATGTTTTGTGTTCACGAAAATATTTCCAAGTGTATTGCATACCATGCATCTATATTCCTTGGACGTTGCGTGAGGGTTTCCAGACAGTACGAATGAGGGTTTCCAGGGTCTGATAAGTGTCAGGAGGGCGCGGCGAAAGCGCTCGCTAGAGAGGCTTAGTTGACCTTACATGATAGCGACTCTCCTCGCCAGTCCTATGCCTCAGCATACCTCTTATGTGGCAAGCATATAGAATTTTTTGTGCATTCAAGCCGGGGCAAAGTCGAAGGTAAGATTCTCGAGTGCGGTTATAATCCTAAGATGCTTTGATGGTGAAACAAGATGAAAGTTGATGGTTTGTAAGCCATTGGAGAAGTCTTCCGATGTGATCTTTAGTTTTAACAAAGCCAACATGTTCGAATCTTTAAATTCACTAAATAGAATTGGCTTATGATGATTTGATGATTTGAAGAGCTGATCTTAGACCTGGCTCTATCGATTCACAGCATTCGTTCTGAAACCCAAGTTAAACAAAATGTGAAATCGAGAATCAATCACAAGATCCATTGGAAGCCTTATGAAGATTATCAATCCATCTTAATCATCATTCAAATCAATCATCATCATCGTCTTGATAAGTTCAGGATAAGATGAAGTTCATCAATCTTAACTTTCTCTTAGTCATAGTGATGATACTTGTAAGCTTTCATTCCAATTAGTTTTTGATCTGATAGCATTTTACTATTTTACCTGTTTACCGCTTTACCTTATTCATCGAATCGACTGATTTTGATTTTACTTGCAATTCTAATAGATTTCCAAAACTTCTTTCTCAACTCCAATTGACTCTCGTCGCCCATCATCCAACTTAGATATCCAAGAAGAAGTAAGCTTTTATTTTAAAAACATTACTGAACAAGACAAATCCATCATTTGATTGTATTGGCATTGGCTTTGGAATTCAGTTCAATTGTTTTAATCCTCCAGATTTCGCTCGTATAAAAGATCTTGAAGTATTGATTCAAGATTATCAAAATCGTACTGATATCACCAACTGTACAACCCAAGCTGGTCCAGGACTTCAAGGTTGTAATTATGTTTGTATCAATGCATCTTTTATCTTGGTTTGTAACACTACGCCAGATCACTAATTTACCGCTGAGTTCAGAAAATTGAAACTGTAGAAAAATATCACCAATACAGGGGAGGTCAGAAAAATTTGAAAAAATAATGATTCAATTCATGGGTGCTGTCCCCTCATTTTGCATATTTTTGCATATTTTTGCCATGATTTTTGAAGTCTCCCCAAACCAAAATGCTCACAGGGGATATTATGTCAGAAACTCAAATTTGGTCCAAAACTAGCAATATTTGGGCAAAAACCTCCAAGCACAAAAATATGAGTATTTTTGTTCAATCATCTGAACACTTGCAATTTATGGAAGCCGCATGATGTCTCTACAAGGTTTATTAAGGTGCTGAAGCCATTGTAGTTATGACTTCTATGCTTATATATGGTTTCTGCTGTGTACGTCTCTTGATATATCTCACCCATTATTGGAGACACACAGCTTTTTTGTGCACACAAACTGTAGATCCAGAATGTGGAATTCAGAATGTCAAGACATTACATGTGTTGGAGAAAAATTGATGATTTTGTTGGTGTTGCAAGGTCACTGTCTCTCTACCTGCCAGTTTTGGACCAAAATTGGGTTTCTGACATTATTTGCATTGTGGTTGTAAAAATATGAAAAAATATGCCAGATGATTGGAATGCACCAAAGGGCCCAACCAATATTTTTTCATATTTTTCTGACCCCTCCCAGATTTTCCATAATTTTCTATGTCTTCTCAATTTTCTAAACTCAGCGGTAAATTTTCAATTTGGCGTAGTGTAATGAGGTAAATTCATCCAAAGCTGATCTAGAAAATTGTTGGAGAAGAAGCTTACATCATCAAAGCTTTACCTTGATCTTTTGATTTTCAGAATCCTACACCTATCCTTCAAAACTGTAACACAATAGTTCAAGCCATTCAGAAAACCATGGATCACTGTCAAGAAGATCAATCTGAATTTGTTAGAGGTAAATATCATCATATAGAAGATCATTGGGGTATAATTATTGGTGGTCATAGTGGTGTAGATAATATTTGTCCATATAAATGTTCTTTCTTCAATTTCTCAAAAGCTTTAAATTATTCTGATTACTTTGGATGTCAAATCTCCATGATTACAAAACCCAGAAGAAGAACATTCAAAGAAATACTATTGGAAACTTCCATTTCTATTGCATTATGCATATGGTTTATCAATGAGGTGGGAATAATCAAAGATAAGGCAGGGCCCGGATGTGTAGAGCTCCAAATTCCATGTAGGGATTGATTCCATTCACATAGAAAAAATTAAAAAGTGGTTCAATTGTCCCAAAAAGCTAGTTTTGAGATGCTGTTGATGAGGGCATCTCAACAGTAGTCTTGCTTACATATTGGTGCTTGACTCAGGGGGTAGATCAGGATTTTTGACTCAGAATTTTCAGACCCCAGCTGAGAAAGTACCTGCAACATATACAGCACTGTTAGCCCAATGCTTGTATCCTAACCTTTCTAAGCCACATGTCTGGTATCCCTCCTGGACTGTGGTACACTTGACCTATTGCCACTCCCATCCTCCCATTTTCATGGGTATACACAAGAGCATTGGAAGGGCTGTGAAAATGTTTGTACACACTGGCAAGTATGTGTGACAACACAGTGTAAATGTCATCACAATCGACCCAAAAAGTGTTTGCACATATTTCCTTGGAAGTTTGCATACATACACTCCATTTTTAGCAAAGGTGAAATCTTATCAATCTTTATGCCAAAGGTGATGATTCATGATGCAGGAGCGTCCCATAACCTCCCTTTACGGCAATGGTGATAAGACATTCTTGATATTCTCATAATAGAAAACCACTTCCTTGTGTATCAAGTTTTTGAATTGGGTAGTATTCTTTCATAAAAAACATGATACAAAGGAGATAAGTGGATTGTCTTGCAAAAAAACATTCACACAAAAACAAAAACAACCTATTTTTGAACATCCAAATATAAAACAGAAGGAAAAGGAATATATATATATAATGAAATTGAAACAAAACAAAATGGAATCATTGATCTTACACTTTTTGTAAGACTGTATAGAAAAAGGTTACACACAAAATGAAAAACAATTTAAAAATGTAAATGAAAATAACAAAACATATGAGAAGGTTCTTTTTAACTTTCTTGAATGAGAGGTTTGTTTCTTTTATGGTGCTTTGACATTGCTGCTATTGCTGGAATTTTAAGAGCATCACCATCAGACCATGTAAATTGACAAATGCAGGTTGTATTCATGTTGCATGGGAAAAAATCCAAGCCAACAGACCATGTAAACAGCCTGTATGGGTTACACACTGTCCAAATCTTGTCTGGGAGAGTGCAAATTTGGATGGTGTGCAAGCACCCAAATATCACCAAAAACAAAAGGCCTGTTGAACCTTTGGCTTTCAGTCACCAACATAAACCCATGATTTGATAACATTCTAGTTTCCAATCACCTCCATTGGGAATTTTTTTGCTTTGCCTTGTCAGTATTTACACAGCTGTGATTTTGTCAACCTCAGGGCAGATCTGTGATGCAGGCCGAGACCTGTCAAACAGTCATTGTACAGAGAACTTCTTTGCACACCAATGGTGGAGATGCTCTATGAAAGAGGCCTAAAGGGCTATGCTACCTGGAGAAGCAAAGCAGAAAGGCAAAGCGGTGTATCCCAAAATGAGTTTGGATTGTATAATATTTGAATATACTCATTATCACATAGTTGGGAGAAGGTGTGTCAATAGTGAAACACAGTGATATTCTGATAAATGTGAGTCCCACAGGCCAGCCAGGATATGTTCACACCCCTGTGAATTGCCTGGTATACACCAACCGGTTATTTGCCACCACAATGTGCCACTGTCTTCTGACACACTTGGTAATATGTGCATTGACCCCTTTGTGTAATATCACCAAGCCTCATCTAATCTATATCTGACAATCTTACCCACTCCCTCTTCATTTGCTCCAGTCAATCACCACAAGCCACCTATTTGCTTTTTTACACTTCTGATCAACATCTTGCTGGACACCACATTCAGGACAATGTTCAATTTGGACACCTCGTAATCCTTCCATTTTACCCTCTCTGGCCCAAAACAGTGCTACTTGTGTGCTCAAGGTGCCAACATCACCCGCAACTGAAAAAACGGCTAACTCTTCCAAACATTATTCATTTTCTCAATCTTGCAAGCAAAATGTGTTATTTATTTTGATCAATCATTTTTTTTCTGACTGGAGTTTATTTTGTTGTATACAGAAACTGAAAAAACCAAATAGATATATATATCAACCAAGAAAACTGATCCAATGGTTTGATAGTTTGGAGGGAAGGAATAAATGGCATACTTCAGGGAGACATTGAATATGACTCTGTGAGGTCTGAAAAGGTTTTTGAGATATTAAACAAAATTACTACTTCTTTTGTCAGAGACCTCAAAGAAATCGTGAAATACATTTATACTTTATTTAATGCTGATTTCATCTTGTGCAATATCTGGTCAACACATCAGGTTCATGAGTATGTAGTCTCAATACCTCATGATTCTACAAGCCAATTTCTAAATCACTCATAGTATTGAGTTCAGGTAGGTGAAGCTCTTTGAGGGTCTGGGTAGGAATTAGAGGTAGATTGGGATTCTGGATAAAATATCTTGGAGCTGATGAAGACATTGTATTTTTTGTTATCTTCTTGATTTAAAGTGCTTTTGATTTTAATTACTAGCCATGCTCAAATTTGACC